GATCAACAGGTTTCCAGTGAAGTGTCCGCTCCTGTTCACTTCGTTGATTTCGTTGGCGCTGGTATCGTACTTGATTTTCCATCTCGGGTCTTCCGGAGCTTCGCCCCCTCCCCAGCCGGAGCGCCATCCCGGCAACGTTCGCGTCTTCTCGTGCGAGAACTCCTGGTGATCGTATGATTCCTGGCGTCTCATGCTTGTCGAAGTGCCATAGCTTTTTTCACTCTCCTGGCCGTACTCCTGCTTGTCAGGACCTCCGTAATCGTTTTGCAGATTGGGAGGATTCTTTGGGACGTCGTATCCTCCAATTGCATTTTTCCCATACTCGAACAGTGTAGGGATGTTCGGAGGATCGAACCCAGTAGTTTTGTAATTGTCTAGCCCTGTGATATCTGGTGGCATGCCGGAGACGTCATGGGTTCCACCCGAGATGTCCTCAAGTGGTTTCGTGCTCACATCTGCAGCTTTGTTTCCTGTTGTTACGTCTGTTTGGACAACGCAATCTGTGGATCGCCCCGACCGTTCCACGGATTCAATTATATCTTCCTGAAAATTTAAATAGAAACCTGAGAATTACACCCATAACATTTGTTTGCGAATAATTAAATTAGGATTTGAGGTTCTTATGGCGGCAGCAAGGACTTAAACAGCATTAATTAACTGATGTTTGTGATGCAGAAGTGTTGTGGTCTTTGAGGTTAGAAGTGGATTTTTAAACACTGTTTAGATGAGCTTCGGGCACGAAGGATTAAATTTGTAGTCAGTCTGACTGCAAAACCTTATTCAGTAACTCTTCTACGGTGTGAGCATTTTCTTATTACACGAATGTCTTACGTCTTTCCGTATCTGCTCGATCTCATAGTTCCTGTCGTCGCCCAACTTCACGTTCTCCGAGAAGCAGCGAACCTTCTTGTGCTGGGTCACCGGCCCATCGGAGCTTCTAGACGTCTCGGGCCAGGACACCGAGTCAAGCGCAGATCCCAACTCGCCAGTAACCAATAAAATAACAAATTATATCAGCATCGGGCAAAAAGCAGGCAATTGAAACATTTATTGTCTCCGAATATTTATATTTCAAAACCGGCGACATTTCAAAATTTCACGGCCACGAGTAAGAAGGTGTCTACATAGCGCAACATTAAAAAATAGTCATCTTCTGATTTAAGCTTGTGACGCAGTTTGATGAATTGAAAAATGCAATAACATCTAAATTTAAGCTTCTTAAAATCTTATTATCAGTACCACTCCTAATGACAAAATATTAAATGATGTATTTCAGTGAAGTTGCGTACGAACTTCACATTAAACCAACGTTTCTAGAGCGGATAAGACAGAAATATCCTTCACATTTTCTATGAAATGGAAGAAGTGTTCATGAGTACGGGATGCGACACATAAGTTTTTGACTGAATATGAAAGAGACAAACGGCGACCGTGTGCGACGTGTTTAGTGAAAGCAACAACCCAGTTCCACATCAGAGATTCATAGGTCAGGTTGACGAGGATTTCAACACTTATTTCTGACGAATTAACATGGATTTAGTGGAAATTAAATACACTTAAATCTTTCATGGAAGAAGGAAAAACTCTGTAGAAGATTCTTGAACTTAAAGGAATGTGGAGGTAACACCCTGATGTCTGTCAACTTTAATCAGGCATAAATGGGAATGTATGAATTAATATTATAGTTTTTTTCTAGAATTCCTCAAAATACGACAAAAATACATTAAGTGGGATTTTAAGTTCTCATGGCGGCGAGTGTGAAGATGACTACTATCTTCTGGATTGTTGCGCCGTGTTGGCTGGTAGAAGATTACAGATTTTGCAGATGTGCTTGCTGCCTTCATAATCAGGGTGATCGTCATCTCTGAAACGTCGGTAAACTTGTACCAGACTACAACCCAGAGGACAGCCGTTTTCAAAATACATGGATTACGAAAACTGATCAGGCCACATTTAACTCGTATATTTAACTTAGTTGACCGACAATTAATTTTGAAGTTATTTAACATTGCTGTTTAGGCCGTATAGGCTGTATAGCGTTAAGATGAAATGGGAAAATAATCACAGATAGTCAGCAGGTAAAGATCTGGAAACAGATGGTCGTGGTTTGTTTCAAAGTAAGTAATAGACGGGCCGAATAAACGTAGGCTGCCTGCATAACACCGTTTGACAATCACATTGTATGTGAAAACTTAACAGGGGTTAGTACTGCAGTGTGTAAACTCAGACACAAATAAGTTTGAATACGTTGTCTTGGAATAAGTCTCAACACATCATCGTCACAAACCTTTAAATTTAATAAAAACCAAATAAGTTTCATTCATTTATAATAACATGCGATTGCAACACCGAAAATACTGTCTACAAGTTACACTTTTCAATTACTTATGTTATGCTGTACAAGAATAACATCAATGAATATTGTTAATATCGAAGTTAGAATTCTTTGTTGGAGTAAAGAATGTTTAGAAAAAATTGCAAAATCATGAAACATTTTACGCCTAGTAAATTTTTTCTACATTCTTAAAGTTTTATAGATAATTAAAAAATGAATTTGTATGCTGTTATTTCGTGATTCGTGAACCTTTACTCTAATTTTGATCAAATTTTGCTCATTCACTATGCTGTTTTAAGCCATTTATGACAGCATTATAAGTTAGTTAGTTAGTTAGTTAACAGCGAACGTGCCAGAACTGTTACGCCAAGTGTATATTTCGTAATTTGTTATACTAATTCTACTTGCAGTGAATAAGTAGTCTGTTTCTAATGTCCTCTCTCGTTCTTTTACTTCTGTTCTCTTTAATTTTCTGTAACACTCGCGAGAGAGGACTACGTTGAATTGTCTATCTACAAACATTTATGCAATACCTTAACATATTTCTTAAAGACCTCTTCGTCACTGTATAATCTTACTTATTTCAGTAATTTGCTTCATAGTGACAATAATGATTTGGTATGCGTTAAATCTTCGGTTTTACAAAATAAAGTAGTCAAGTACTGTATAATTCTGAGTCAAACTGGAAAAATAGTTTTTGATTACAAGCATAAAAGTAGCGAAAAACAGATAGTAAGATCGGATTTGCTACTTCATGCTGATATTGTGCACAATTAGGCATGGGTCCATGAAACTCGCGTGTTGTGAACCATGACTTACCGCTCAACTCTTGCAGTAGAAACAGAAGAAAGCAGAGAACAGGCAAGCGCTGGCGCTGTGGAACAGAGTAACTGTGGTTACACACTCAGCATAAGCTTTCTAAATTTGATTTGCATTCCGAAATTCCATTCAAGACATTTGACTTATTAAATTACGTTTTCTAGATGTTCAACAGTCCTGTTATTATTCTTTTAAAAAAGAGTATACTACACACTCGCAGGTACTTACAATGTTGTTTTAGAATTGTCGTACTTCATCGGCCTTATAGCAATTTATTACAGATACAAAAGTTTTGTTTCCAATACAACTCATTCGTTACGTAGCTTCTTACACTACATACTAGGCCTATATGAACAGCAGTGCATTCAAAAAGTACTGTTCCTTGGAATTCGTTAAATATTGAAGATTTCTGTCTTCTGGGTTGTTGCGCTGTGTAGTCTGGTCGATGTTTACCAACGTTTCAGAGGTCATACTACCTCCGTCATCAGGCCCTGCAGTATGACCTCTGAAACGTTGGTTAACATCGATCAGACTACACAGTGCAACAACCCAGAAGACAGAAATGTTCATACTCACCGCTGTGAAAACCTCAAATGTTACATCGTTAAATATTACCACGACAACGAATGTTATAGATCTCAATGAGACATATTTCAGTCCATCCCCCAGTAATGCATTTTACTGCGACTTAAAGAAAACAAGAAACGTCTTATAGGAGGAAAAATTCAGTCGTAAATATGACCTTTGTGATAACATTTAAAACACTTTTGCGACTTTTTGTGAAACCAGAAATCAGTAATTTGTAAGTGTTTATCTTGAAATAAACACGAGACTTATGCAAACGTTCGAAAGAGCAAAACTGGCGCCACTTAATGCAGGAACTCAAAATTTTTCAACAAGAGTTACCTTTAAAAAAATGCGCTGATGTTATTAAGAACACACTTCACGAAATCAGAAAACAAATAGGGGCTACATAGTCTACGAACCATTTCAAATAAATTTTTGGTCGTTCAGAAGCACAACAAAATTATCGTGTGAATACGTGTTTGAGAAAATATTTGATTAAGATATAATAATTATTAGTATTATTTTCTAATTCTTGGGAGAAACTTATTGTCCAACATGTCTACCTACAAATTCTATTATGTTAAATTCGTCGGATATAACCTCCGAGTTTGTAACTGTTGACTTATAAAGAATACTACATGCTTCATTTTTAAGAATGTTTATAATCTATATTCATAATAAGTATTATATTCTTAGGGTTAATGACCCATTAGTTATTACTTTCATACTGAGAGGGAAAGCAAAACATTTTCGCATTGCCACCATGTTGTACAAATACATTGCCTTAAATATTTGCATAGTTAAAAGTTCTATTATCGTACAGAACTTCACGAATCTGCACTAAATTAGGCTAATGTCGCTCCCACCTCACAAGTTCGCGTGTCTACCATATTGTTATTACTAATTGTAGGAATTTAAAAAGTACGAGTTTGGAGTGACCTTTAATGGCATGAAAGTTTGCAAAATATCCTGAAAACTAATAAACTGATTCAGTAGTTTAAAAGCATGGTGGTCCCATGGGTAGCGTTGTCCTTGAGAAGATAACAGTGGCTCAAGCAGTTTATTCTCCATTTTTTATAGAACTCGAAGTCACTACTTTTTTACCCTTCAAGAAAATTGACAGGAAAAATTTTCAGTTGTGCCTACGTTATATGCTAATATCTAACTTCTATGGTTTTTGAAATGTGACATTTATTTTAAGAATAACTTTAAAAAATGTTTAAGTCTCAGCGTCACGAAAAGTAGATTTATTTTGGACCAATACAGACCAACCGAAATATAGCAATTATGGTGCTTATTCTCAATGTTACATTTCGTCAGAATTCATGCAGTTGTTTCGGAGAAAAAAATTCCAAACTGACATGGAAATGTCCCCATTGCGAGTTAATATTACACACTTGCGCGAAAAACATATGAAATACTTTGGAAGCTAAAATGTAGACACTACACACATATGAATAAGCATACACAGCATTTATAATTCGTTATCATGTTTTATAATGAATTATACAGTTACAACCATTCTGTTCACAGACTGCCGTGTAGTTGCCGTTGGAAATGCATTTGTTGTTCTGAACGTCTGTAAATTAAAATTTTATTCTGTAAGATTTGAGGGTTTTTTATTCGCTTATGTCGAGTTCAAAAGCAATAACTGAAACTTTAGAAAAGAGACCATGACATTCGTAAAGATTCAAATTGTATTTAACTTGGCTAAAACTTTTGTGACTCAGTATTTTGGTATTATATACGATTCGATGTTACTAATGCCATCTACAGGTACCAGTGTTTATATAATTTTAATTTTATATGGCTGCAATCAAAACACTTGTAGTACTGAAACTAGTCTTCATTCGATTATGTTATATACCTTTTTGTTAGCAGAATAATCACTATTTGTACAGTATCAGTTATTGAATGTCAACTAATAGCAAACGTAAACCTCCCTCTTTGATACCTTGGTTGCACGTAAAGGACGAACTTACAACCGGTTTAACAATGGCAGAGGAAGGGCGTGTTTCTGGACGAGGTTTCGATGAGTTCTGTTCCAAGGTACAGAACAACTGAATGAAAGGCAGAGCACCGTAACTGGATAACACGTGATTAAGAATTGAACGGACATTATGTCAAAGTGTGGTGAATATTTTCACTGCACTAAAAATAAACAAACCGGCACATCTGTAAATACTGTATTCAGTGAAATATAATTTCAAAAAAGCCTCTGCCTTCTTCACTTAATCTGTACTTCATGTACTCACACGATGATGTAAGCGAGTCATTTCTTGCCCTATTTCATGACATGCCACTTACTCACTGTTCACAACTGATCCTAAATCCCGTCAAGCGCTGCTATATATACCGAGCATGTTTCTTTTTAACTGATTTAACGTTCCTGTTGTTTTCTCTTTTTGTTCCGCATGATTCGTGGCATTATTACGAACCAACTAGGCTACACTTGCCTCATTCTTCCTTTTCGTTAATTCGGATTAAACGGGACTCATTCTTTACTGGTCCAGCGTAGCACACTCTCACTTGTAACCTGAAAATGAGTGTGGGCAGTTATGTCAGAGTAATGTACAAAGGATTAGTGATTCAGAATTTTCGTATCGAAAAAAAAAATACGACTCTAAAACTTAGGAATGTCAGGATTTATCGACTTGGTACAAAGTGCGTACTGAACCTCGCGTTGTAGCAGTTGGTAGTCTTGCTTTGTATACTGGAGGTCTCCCGTTCAAAACTCCGTCGGGAGACTTGACACCCTGAATTTGCAGCATCACTTCGCTTCTACATAACAAGTGGATAGTAGGCCTGTTAAATAAATTCATCTCAGCTTAGGTTTTATTAACCTAACATGCGCTGAAACAGGGCACATGATTCATATTTCAGTCAGTTAAAAGTAAGGCATCATCATGACTCGTGTACATTACTGTGTATAAACGCGAAAAACAATATTACAAGATTGGACGTGTTTACTCTTTGGAGTACACTGACGTTCCAAAAGTGTTCTTCACGCCACCCGAGGCCGCTGTTGTACAACAAACACTCGGTCATGCAGGTTGCTTACCCCGCAGGAAAATTCGCCAGACATACATACAACTTCATAAGATTTTCTTCGCTCACTCTCAAGCATAAGGGACACCCCACCCCAAAAACAATGCTGAACGTGGGATCGTCATTTCTGGCTCCGGTGGGTCGGTAAGACAGTGTTGTATTTTTCGAAAATTTTGGATGAAGGAATTATTGCCACTCCGGCCAACAGAGGAAAAACATATGGGAGCCACTTGAAGTAATTGCATAGAGACAGCTTATTCGTTATACAAGGCAAGATGTAGCACGATAAAAATGCTCACTGAAACATATGCTTTGGTTTCTGTACACATGGAATACCAACCCATGGGCCGATCTCAAAATAAATACCCCTTACTACTCACACAGACCAACCGCCTTAAACCCAACCCAGCCCTCAGAATTTCAGTTCCATAATACACTTCATGGATTGAAATTAATTTATCAAGGACATGAGGCAGATCCACAGAAAAAATATCCACACATAAATAGAGTGTCATTTTATTTAGCCCTACATAACAGCAGATACATTACGTGCAAATACTGAAATACCGTGACAGAATAACTAATTGCTATATATACAAAACACAAGGAAAATCTTTCATTCTGAATGTTTTAATATTGGTTTATGTTTAGTGGTTTACAGCTTTATACCTTGGTTATGACACTTTCCTTTTGTTTCACTACATTCTCATCAACCAGTTCAGTTTATCTGAAGATAGCTAACAATAAAGGCCCTTAACTATTCGGGAATACAATTTTTTTGTAAAAAATATTAAAGTAAATCATGGTTTATGTTAAAACAAACCATTCGTTCTTTGTAATAAATATTTTGGTTAGGTGAATACAAAATATATAGGCCTACTGGTGATGACATAATTGTGGGAGAATGAAATTTCAGGAATGGGATTTGTAACATCTTTAAAGTGCAGTGAGGCAAATCCCACGACAGAAATTAATTCTATCCCAAACATAAAGACCCTATCGTTTCCAAAATGCCATAGCCTTCTGATAATTTATGCTATGTTCACTTGAAGTTGAAATGGGAGGTGGATGATTAAGAGGCGTTTTCTTGTGAGTTGTGGACTTTGGTTTAGATTCTTCTTTTTGGGCTGCTGATAAAGCTGAGCTTCTTGCCTGGACAATGCCACTCACTTTATGCAAAGCTTTATCACAGATGTCCTTTTCATTCTGCTGCTCCTGGAAGTGAGCCAGTTCTTTCTTCAAGGCACTGGCTTTCCCAGTGAGGATGTCTGGCGACGGACATGTTCCTGCGTCCACACTCACACCAGAATCCACAGAACTTTGCTGCTTTAAGCTGTCTGTCTTTTTAGCATTATATTTAGCTGAAGAGGAAGAACAAGCAGAGATATTACTAACGGCACTATCTGAAGACTTTGTATCATTACTACCGTTTCCCTCGCTAGAACCTACAACCGTATGGCAGACCTTAGACTGAATATTTCTACCTACCACTGAAGAGACTCTACCACGGACTATCACTTCACTCAATTTCTCACTACATTTTTCCATTTCCTCTGTTATAGAAAACTTCTTACTGAGTAAAGGCTTTGGTGGACACTGACAATGGCTGTGAGGGGAGGGAGTAGTAATGCTAGAGCAATCGCTGATACCGCTGTCGCTCCGCTCACTGCACTGTCGCATGCGGCCAGATTTAGTCAGCATCGTCTCACTGAACCCATTAATCACACTGTTAGTGTCACTAGAGGTGTTAGTGCCCGCAGGTTCCAGGTCTTCCTCGTTAAGACTCGACATCCTCGATACAGTGCCGCAGCATCCAGATAAACTAGGCCTGGGACTGCCGGACGTAGAGCTGGCATTTGAGTTGCGGCGAGTAGCTGCTGATAGCGTGGCCATGCGTCCCAGGGCACGTATGGCATTCCCTGTTTTCTGTTATTTCACAGCAATAACACACACAAAACATGCAGTTTAAGATACACACACAAAATCACATGCATTGTTAAAACTGTGACTTTGTTACAAATCTTATTTATTATGTTGGCATACACGGTCATCAGTCTCAAATGTGAACATTTAAAAGAGAGAAATGTTGCTCGTAAAGAATCAACTTTGTAAAAATAGATTTTTATATTTGGGAAAATTACACACAAGGAATTGGAACTCTTAACCCAGTGTCTGACATTGTCCTATGCGATAGGACACGGACCTACAAATGTTATACTGAAACATCATGCTCCCATAAAAATTAAAAGGCCCAGTAGTGTTCAGATGATTATAATGGCTTCTTTCTTTCCTTCCTTCATTTTTCAAGCGCTCTATGAAATTGCTCCACAACAGAAATTCCTCTTACACTGCAAACACTTGTACTTCCTGCAAAACCCTCTGGTACATGTGTCCCACCACCAATCCTACGGCTTTATTACCAATGATCAGACATTTTCAAACCCTCAATACAAAGAGGACCTTCCAGCAGTCCCAGAATATGAGTGGCACGACTCTTTCTGGAGTAGATACAGGAATATCAAACAAAGACATTCTTAGACTATATATGTCTCCAAACTTTTATGGTCACATAACAGAAATGCAGTTAGATTGTTATTCAAACACAGCACTACTTCATCTCAACAGAAATACAATATTGTCAGAAGAAGGAAATTGCTGCTTGGCACAGGAAATTACATAAATGAGAATGAAATGACAATAAATTCTTAATTTGCCTGAGTAACTAATAACGTCCATGTATGTATAGGGATTATCAGCAGCAGGAGATCTGTATCTCGTAAACAGCATACAAATACAACAACGTTTGTCCACAATTTTCAAAACCACTCCGTGACATACCTGCCATTTTCTGCGAATTATGAACTTCTTCAGTTTATCTGTGCACAACCTGACACAACTCATTTTCTCGTCATGCTGCGTCAGCCACGTGTGATGTAGACATTCCCTGGCTGTTAACCTTTTCCTGAGACATACAAATGACGAACAAATCAAATGGGTGCGGACTGAAGCCTAAGTCTAACTTACAATTTGCACACAATGACGCATTAGTCTAGGCATTTCCCCATAAATCAAATTTTATACACTTGTCCATACAAACCATACCGAGTAAAGGGTGAAAATTACCTCATTCACAAATAATGAAAAAAATAACACACATTTATTACCACTTAATGACCTTTAGCCTGATTTTCTTGTATTATGTCTTTGTGTATCCACGTGTTGTGCCCCCTAATACATTTTTTTAACAAAATGAGAGTATTTCATGCAACCTGGTATAAAACCGTGCCACTGTAGGCCATTCAATCATTACAGTTCCTAATTTTTTGTAATCAGTAATACCATCATGGGAATTGTGTGAAATTTGTCTATGGCCAGAGGAACTGACTTTCAATGCAGTGTCCTTACATTTTGTTTGATAATATATCTTTGAAAATTCTACAATGTACATTTTGGTTCAAACACACAACCCTTCTGAGTTTTTCCCAATTCAAAATTCCTGTCAGTAACACCAATATCTGCCTCTTCATTATTTTGATGATGATAATGATTATGAAGTACCATTTCTTTCATCTACAGATTATGAGAGAAAACAGTTTACCTCATTATTTGA